CGTACTAATAATTTCTTTTGAGAAATTTATAACGATAACAGAAAGTTGCAATTTTGGAGAATCATGAAGATGATGATGTTGAACGAGAAGATTCTTCAAAATGATGATGCAAAGGCTGAAGTAGCGTGCATGGTGAGGATGAACAAGTCTATTTGGAAATTATGATTCTACCTGCGAGGTCAGACTATTTAGACTTGTTACTTATTAATTTATGCTTATAATGATGCATGAATTAGTATACATGTGCCTTTGAGTTAGTCTTTAAAACTTAGTGGAAATACTACGAAATGGATAAACCACTAGTAAAGACTAAGGTAGAGCCACTAAGGATAAGGTAGTAGTGCAAGACCAAAAATATATATGCTTAATAAGAAACTATTGTGATTAAAAGTATCAAGTATAATTCTTTAAGAAGCCTTAAGAAAGAAAAAATCTAAAAATGGTTTTTTGGAAAGTAGTGTGATGAGTATGAAAGTGCATGTCTAGGATTAGTTTTATGAAGACTTGGTACTTAAGAGTGCCTAGTGCACCACCTCTCTTTCATTGAAACCTACCTAGTGCATTATTCATTACTATGCTCACTATTCCAATTTATAAAATACTATGACAAGATAAAAAAAAAAACTCTTAAAACTTAGTGCAGAAGTTAAAAGAGTAGAGATTAATTTGGTTAAGTGGAATACCAAATTTAGTCATAGTAAATAAAATATATGATGGTCTCTTTAAGGCTAATATGTTGAAAATATCATGAATAAGAATATGATAGACTCTATTGCTACTAAGAGTGTGTTGTAGCTATTAAATCTCTAAGTGATTTTCCTAAGTAGAGAAAAGAAAAGAGATTATCTATTTCATAATGGTTTATGCATTTTAATCTTAATGATTTGTAACTTCTCAAAACTTTGAGAATATAATTATGTGTAAACAAAACTTGAGTTTGTTAAAATATAGTTTTATGGCTAAAACTAATAACAAACTTTACTCTAGTATGATTGAGTATTTGTTTACACGTTTTACAAGATACTTATGGATATCCTAAAATGTTAGAAATGTGGGGGTGTCTTAAAATGTAGATTAAATGCATAAACTCAAATAGAAAATATTCTATCCACTTCTTCTAGTATTCCTGCTAGGTCTTCTCAATAAATTAATTTCGAGCCTAGAAGAAGTAAAAGGCTATTTGGACCAAATTTTATCACTTTCTTTATTTCTGAGATAAATGATTTAGAATCTATTTCTGATCATATAGCTTAAATGTTATATGAGGATCTTAAAAAAGCTATAAGATCTATCGATGCTAGTTTCTAGAAAAGCATTTTTAATGATGAACTAGAATAGATAATGTCTAATCATACTTGGGAATTAGTTGACTTGCCTAGAGGATTTAAACCAATCTGTAGCAAATGAATCTTCCGGAAGAAAATAAGACCAGATGGTTTGATCCAGTGGTACAAGGCAAGGCTAGTTGTCAAAGGGTTCACTCACAAGTTTGTTTTAGACTACTTTGATTCTTACTTCCCCGTTATGAACATCTCAAAGATCCGTGCATTATTTGCACTAGCCTCTATTCATAAGTTGCAAGTACATCAAATGGATGTTAAGACTGCATTTTTGAATGGAGATCTAGATGAGGAGATCTATATGGGAATAATGGTACGAGAAATTTCATAAAACTATACTTAGTTTTGGTTTTGTTGTGAATGGTTCAGATGCTTGTGTGTATTCGAGGATGTTTGTACTGATTGCATCATCATAAGTTTTGTATGTTGATGACATGTTGATTTTCAGTTCTAACATTGAGTCCATTAACAAAACAAACAGTTTCTTGTCCACTAAATTTGAGATAACGGATTTGGGAGAAGTAAATGTAATCTTAGGAGTCAAAATTACCAAAACTGAAAAGGGATTTTCTTTAAGTCACGCACACTATCTTGAGAAAGTGTTAAAGAAATTTGACAGTTTTGATGTCGTCCCTGTTCGAACCCTTGTAACCCTAGCATATATATCTTTAAGAATAAAGGAAGTAGCGTTTCCCAAACTGAATATGCTAAATTAATTAGAAGATTAATGTTCTTAATGAACTATACTCAGCCTGATATTGCTTAAGCTGTGAGTAGACTGAGTAGATATACTCATAATCCAAGTGGTGAACACTGGATTGCTCTTAAATGCTTACTGAAGTATCTTAAGGGTACTTTGGATTGGAAACCTTAGTTCGTCAGCTTTCATGCGGTACTGGAAGGATATTGTGATGCCAACTGGGTTTCTGATAATTATGAGGTAAGCTCTACGAAAGAGTATATTTTACTTTGGGTGGACCAACAATCTCGTAGAAATATCAAAGCGGACTTGTATTGCTCGTTCTACCATGGAGTCAGAGTTTATAGCTCTTGACCTAGCTAGGCAAGAAGCCGAGTGGCTCAGAATCTTATTAGCAGATATTTCGTTGTGGGAAAACCCGATTCCTCCAATTTCTTTGTTGTGTGATTCGCAAGCCGTGATATGTGTACAATGGTAAGAAAAGACACATTCGCATAAGGCATGAATCAGTTAGACACTTAATAAAGAATGGAGTGCTCTCTTTAGAGTATATGAAGTCAGAAAGGAACCTAGCAGATCCTTGGTCCTAGATTCGTCGAGGGGGATGGGCCTAAAGCCCATTGGTTGAGGAATTCATGGTGGATACCCAACTTAGTTATCTAAGTTCCATATGGTCAAACGAAACCATGAAAAGACTCATAGTGCACATTCCTACTGCCTATCCCTATGATGAATAATGTGCATGCCCAGGATGAGCTTAATTGCTCTTAATAAATTCATAGCCCAGACTTTGGGTGGTCTTAGTGAGAAAGACTTGATGAATTTACCGATTTTGGCTGAATATCTATTCTTAATAAGTTCATAACCCAGAGTGAGTGGGTAGTCCTAAATGAAAAGGAAATAATGAACTTACCGACAGAAAGGTTGAGTTTGTTAAACTCTTAATAAATTCAAATCCATGTATTTGGATGGTTCTAGTGAGAACGACTTATTGAATTTACCGATTATTGAGGATGAATATTTATTCTTAATGACTTCTTATCCCAGAGTTTGGATTGTTCTTTAATAATGAACTTGAAGAAAGTCATCATACCCTTTGTGAGGTTGAGCTATTGTAAAAGCTCTTAATTATTTCATATCATGTTAAGGGTGGTTTATGTCGAGATAAACTTGATGAAATAACCTATGTAAGTGAGAAGGGTTAGCCACCTTCTATGAAAAATGTTGGGCCATTTTTCTAGAACACTTACTAGAATCCTGAGGTAAGATGACCAAATATATACTTTTGTATATATATATATATATATATATATCTTACACATCGAGGACTCAAGTGGATGAAGGGGTTAGTTGTGTGTTATGAGGTTACCCCCATCTTAGAAGGATTGCTCATCATCACTATATACTAGTTCCAGATACGTTCACTAGTGCTTAAGCAACTAATCTCCCTATTGCTCTTCTGGAAAGATTGTTTTCGAGTTTCAGAAGAATTCTTTCGCATTAGTGGGGGAATGTTGGTAATGCTCAATCCCACTTAGAGTTGGAAATACTAGTGAGAATGATATTTAAGGTTTACATTCTCCATTCCCTTGTTGAGTGATAGAGAACAAGGCGTTTTAATACGTGTCTTTGACACGTCCACACGAATAATATCTTTTTAGAGAAAATTCATAAGGAATTTTTCTCTGAAAGATTAAATGAAAAATGTGAAAGATTCATCTAATATTTATAGGCTACTGAGACTGTTAAAGTTCGAATATTTCAGATGATAATAATTGATTATTAGTTGTCTGAAATTAAATAAATTAAACAGTTATTTTTCTAAATTAAATCAGAATTTAAGATGTATCTGGACTGATTTCCAGCTTTATTCATGGGAGAGACAAGCTGTTAATATCAGGAGTTACATGAGTTATATGATTTAATTTCAGGAGTTATAACTGTTTAATTTTTGTGCAATGAACATGGACTCTTTTTTGAGCCAAATTCATCAAGAGGAGTTACAAAAAAGGGTTTAAATTCAAAATTAAAATCAAATTTAATTTGATTTTCTTGTTGGACGAATTTACCCTTACTTCTAGCCTATAAATAGAGAGCTAAATCAGCTTCTCAATACACACTCTACAATTAGAATTCACTCTCCAAGTGTTTTCTAAAGTTGTTCTCTCCATGCTTTCCGATCAGAAGTGCAATACCACCAGGAGTCCACTCCGATTTTGGGTGTACGGAATTCGGAGCGACCGTGTCAACCTCGGGGGACGGTCCACCTACTGCAACGATTACACACATCGGGGCGAATTCGTTTCTAAGGCAGTGGTTAATACCACGACACAGTTAATTGATTCTTTATTTATATATTTCAATATATATCTTTCATGTCAGTGCTAATGCCTCGTTTTGCAGTAATCTATTTTACCAACAAACATTGATGCTTTGATTTCAAAGTTTTGTCGCGGAGGAGAAATGATATAAAAGGAAATAAAATAACTTTCTAAGTTTTGATCTAAGAGTTAAAAAAATAGTCTAAATAGCTCCCTTTAGAGAATATATCAGATTATTGGAAAATTTGATTAGTTAGTTATCATTATTATTATTTCATTTTGGTTTAAATAAGTCCAAACAAAGTCATTAAAAATGAAATAAAATTGTCAAAAATGTCATGTTACATAGAAATGTGATATTGGCTAAGGAAGGCATAATATTAATGAAATCTTGACACTGGTAAGCAAAATAATTTGCCAAAAAAATGCAAAATAAACAATTCAAAAAATAAGCAAAAAATATAAGCAGATTTAAGTTAAAAAAAGGACAAAAATAATATACAGATCCTGCCAAATAAGAAAAATTTATCCTAAACTAGCCAGACTCTAACTGGTTAAAAGAACATAATATAGGGATCCATCTTGCATGGCTATTGATTCCCAAAAGCTGAACCACCTTCGTGGAAAGAGCCCATAATATATGTATAAATCCCAAAAACATACATAGATTACTGCTGCCTCTTCACTCTCCGGCCATGATTCAGAGTCTTGGATTTCTATGCTCTTTCTGCAGAAATTTGATCCACATTACCGAGACTTTTGGCATACTTAGGCCTCCATCGGGTCCTCCCTCTCACAATCTCAGCCCCGTCCTCTCGGAGCAAGTGCTGGCAGTTAATTTCACCAGAATTTCTGGTGTTCTCCACATCGGAATCAGGGACAGCAGTTAGCGAGTGCAGCACGCTGTCCCTCCCACACTCCCTCCTATACTGGAGAGTGATGGCGCAAAGCTCGCGACTCTCCAAGATTGGCAATGGTGCACTCTGCAAGTATTAACTTCCGGTTAAAATGAATGTAAACACCAAACATATAAATGGCTTAATTCATGCAGATTTGAAGAACACAAAATGCAATTTCATACTAGCCAAGCAAAGTCATCAGCACATAATTTGTTTTTATCAGTAACTGCAACGTTAATCACTTCTCAGAAATGCTATGGTAAAGCAGTTATTTTTTTCTTTTTCTTTTAAGGCACGAATTTCTGCTCTTTCCTGAATAAACCAGAAGTCAAGGTAAAATAGTTAAGTCTAGCCTGTTTCGAACTTTCTAGGCAGAAGCAAGTTCCAGCTCAGCATCAGAGGTACTAAATTGTTATGATTTTGGTTCAACTGTTATCACCAGATGGGAAGACATAAGAGAGCGCAGGTTCAAAAGAAAATCCTTAAAATGTAACTGGAGGGAGTCTACCTCAAGGATCCAGCCAATGTACTTCACATTATTCACATGCTGGTTGACATCCAAGTCACTCCATTTAGGCTGCAAACGAGAAATAAAGCGTATTGTGAAAGCAACAAATGAACAGAGAAAGATAACTGTAAGTGCCGAACGCCATAATTATACAGAAGAAGAGAGATGGGAGCAGCAGGGACTTACAGTTAAACCTTTGCACACATATTCAGCCGATCTGTCATCTAGTTTTACTAGTTTCTGGCTGTCCTCAGCCAGAACGGGATCAGAATTCATAAACAAAGGTTCTATTTCTCTACGAACCTCTTCTGGAATTTTAGATAACCTTCTAGTCAGTTTATTCATCATCACCCACACACTGCACATTCACCAAAACCAAAACAGAGGGGACCCAGATTAGTCACTCAAGAAACACCATTGAAGAATGTGCAACCAAACCAAAAATACATATGGGGGAGATGGTAGTTCAATGTGTCCAGGGAAACCAAAATATCAACTCATGTATCGATTGAAAACACATTAAATGCTAGCAAAACAAATTTTGAAATATTTTACAGTTCAGTTATTTCATATTTTTGCTATTCCTACATTTTTCTTGTGAGAAGAGCAAATTTGTGGCACAAAACAACAGATTACGACACAAAAAAATGTAAAAGTTTGTGGTCCTATTATAAAGAATGCCCCACCTCGTGGCTTCTGTTAAAATTTCACCAGTTTCGCTATTGCTGACAAGCCAATCTCTTCGCATCCCATTCTTCCCAGATGCACTGGCCCAAGTGTCTACTTGAACAACATCACCCCTACATGACAGACATAAATAAGTTCAATGTTCACTAATACAAATTTCAAACTACTCATAATACATCAATAACTAATAACTTTTGTGATATATAAGAAAGAACGATGCCAAAACAAAATTCAATCTCTCATTCATTGTTGGTGGCTAGATTCAAATAGGGTTTAGGGTTTATCGTCCTTCTCTTATTCATTGTTGGTGGTTAGATTCAATTGTCTTCAACTTTATACTATGACCTTTTAGCTTAAACAACATACATTCACATTTTAAGGGGAAAAACATGAACAGGTGAGATGTAACGCAGATAATTAACGAAATGCAGAACATTAACATTCACATTATTGAATATAGTCTTATGGAACAAATCAGTCATCAAGAGTCCATGTATATATTGCCAAAATTCAAGAACTAAACTAGTTAGCGACAACACATGCCAGATGCCTTAGGCTCTGCTTGGTATTAAGGATAGGAAGAAGCGAGGATGGAAAATTTATCAATCTGATAGTTAAGCTACAAAGTAGCAAAGTGATTATGAATCTTAATCATTTGATTAACAAATTTACTCCCCTTCATCCTCCATATAAAATTTGTATCAGCATAGCATCACGATGCTATAAACAACTATACGCAATGCGGGTAGAGCAAAAGTGGATTATTATGAATTGTTGCTATAAGAGCAAATCGTGTGCAAGAAAGTACATCTTACCAAGTAGAACCCCTTCCATGCTTCTTGTTTTTCGATTCAGAAGGGTCCGGAGAAGAAGTGACTGGAAAAAATGACGATGTAGCAGCAGTGGAAACCATGATTTTATAAATTAAAAAGAAACTTCTATCTGCTGAAATCCCTTCTTTTGCAAAAATGCAAGCTTTTTAGACAAGCAGCTGGTGCATGAACCAACTGTATCACTTATATTAAAGAATCAGAACATTTCCAAAAGGCGCACTAACAATAAATATAGGCACAAAAGTGTTCAGATTTTTACTATAATGAAGATTGCATATTCAATATTTTGAAAGCAGGTCCAACCTTTTCCCAAAAAAAAAATCGTTATTATGAAATGGTAAAGCAGGTTCCACCTTTTTCAAAAAAAAAAAAAGTTATTTTCAGAAGAAGACGATTTTAAAACTCTAAAACAATGGAAAACCGATTTTTAAAAAAGGAATAAACAAATGATTGATGAACAGCAACCAAATTTGCCACAAGTTACAAGACAATGGAACATTCTCCAAGTAATCTTTGCAATTTCTCCATTTCATGAGAAAATTACAACAAAATACAACTTAAAGGGCATTTGGTTTCCGAGAAAATGAGAGAAAAAGATTGGATCTCCTATGGCCGCCACCATCATTCGAAACCTTCCGAGAAAACAATAAAACAAGACATCCACAACTTCTCGTTTCCTTTGTCCGCAACATTTCAGCAGAAAAATAACTTAGAAATTTGTTCAGAAAAGAAAACAAATACAATTTGAAATCTACAAAATAAACATTTACAACACATAAAGTTAATAATGTCTATCTAAAATAATACATAGAGCTGCAATATACAAAATATACATAGACATGAAGGGCTAGATCAAAATACAAATAACAAAAATAACCATATTTGATGATTTAAGGGACCAAAATAGTACTAACAGAAATTTGAAGGGTTGAACAACAAATATAAACAAACCAGAACCACAATCGAATAAAGTAAATAATATGGGTACCAGAAACGAAAATAATCCATAAATACATTTAAGGACTAAAATAACCTAAACCATAAACATAAAAGGGCACTTAATAATTATACCTAAATGCATTTCTGTTAAAACAGTGACCAAAACAAAAGATGCATAAATCACAGGGTCCGATTAAAAAATAAGCAAATGTAATACAACATATGAACTGGGGACCTAAGTATAAGTATTGAAAAATAAATGCCTCAAAAGGAATATAATACTTTCATTTGATGGCTGAATCACAAGATTACAAAAAGGAGGGGACCTAAATGACTATGTACCCCAAAACTTGAAAAACACGGTGATGGAGAGTGTAAAACTATACCGTTTTGCCTTGGGTATTTAAGCCTAAACCCAAGGCTTTGTATCTCATCTCCCTCATTTCTCTTTAGGTTTGAGAAAGGGAAAGAGAGAGAGTTTCTGAAACTCTCTTAACTTGCCTTTGCAGGCAGGAGAAAGCTGTCGCTTGCTGGTGCCATTCACAGCGATCGGAAGAAGCTCAACCCCCTTAACTCGAAACCCAACCCTATTCAACCTAAAAAACACTCTAGAACCCTAGATCAAAGCCTTTACCTCTCAAAAAACTTAAAGCTCCAACGACCCTAGGGCTTTCCAACATTCTTCCGATCGATGTATGATGTCGTTCTCCTCTATTCTCTCTTTCCCTTGTTCTTTTTTCTTATTTTTCTCTCTGTTTTTTTTAAAGCTTCCTTTTCTTTTCTGTTTTTTTTTTCTTCTCCCTCATTTTTTCAGTCTTTTTAAAAACTCCCCTAATCTTTTCGTTCTGCCTCCCCTTTCATCTCCTTACATGTAGACTTGGTGATGGTTTGATATCTGATTGACAGAGTATGATCTGATCTAGATTTATTTTCATTTTTATGAGGTTGTTTAACATTGATTTGTTTTTTTTACTAATGGATTGATTCTGTCACTGTTGATGATGCCGACGGGATTGATCGGCTCTGATGGCGACGGCGGTGAGGGTGAAGCTCGGCTTGAGCGGCGGCTAGTTGAGATCATTAGGGTGAAAACCCTAATCCTTGAGTGATCCTTAGAAACACACTTCTTGTTAGTTAAGGGTTGTTTCTTTAAAATCCTCGTATAAAATAATATACGAAAATTTTTTGTTCTAGTAATAAATTTATAAATATATAATTAAAGGATTAAAATAATAAATATAACAACTTTAGTGATTAAATTATAAAACAACAAGAGATTAAAGTCCCCTATGCAAATATTTCATATTTTAAGCACTTCAAACGTAAATAAATCAAAAAAAAATTTAAGAATTAAAAAATTTAATTTAAGATTAAACTATAAAATAATCAAACTTCATGGCCATAAACATAAAAGTCACGCAAGCTAGGAACTGGAATTTTAATTTAACAATTTTAGGATCAAAATGAAAATTATTAAAATCTAAGGACTAAATTGGATATTTTACCCAAAACATATATAAATATAGTCAGTGACTAAAATATAGAAAAACAAAATATGAAATCCAAATTAAAATACATAAAAATTAACTTCAGTGACCAAACTGAAAAGTTACAAAGCACAAGGACCTGGGACGGGGTTTTCCCATGCACTTAATACACATATACCCCTCCCCATAACGACGTTGTATAGAAGAGGGTATAAATACCCTTAACTGGCCTAAAAATGGCCTAAACTCTACATTTCTTAATTTTTATTCTCTCTCTTAAAAGAGAGAATGCTCTGGCTTCTCTCTACTTCCCCTCGTCGGAGAGAGGTTGGCGTTCTCCGACCACAGCACGCTAGAGTGCTCCGCCGCCGTTAACGGAGGCCGACGACCTAAAAAACACCTCTAAATAACCTTTTTCCAACCCTAAACCCGATTCCAACCTTCCCTTATCCTAAAAACCTTCCAAACGTCATAGATCTAGGTTTTTACCTTCGAACTGAAGACTCACCGATGATGCTTGAAGGCTTCGGTGACAGTGAGGTAAGTTTTTCTTCTCGATCTCTTCTCGTTTTTCTTTGTTATTGCTTTTGAATGGCTATTTGTGGTCCCCCTCTTTTTTTTTCTTGCAGGTTATGGGTTTCTTTTATAGGACTAATGGTGCACCTTTCGGACCATTCGAAAGAGTGGCTCCCTCTTAGTCATCGGTCTATGGCGGTGACCGTCTTAGGGATGGTTGTGACTCACCAGGAGCGGCCGGTGAGATGGATGGGTGCATTAAATGCACCCAAATATTCTTTGATTTGGCTGGTGTAGTCCGACAACGACAGCGGTAGTGGTTGGAATCTGAGGAGTCAGGCGCGTGCAACACACGCACGGCAGGTGGATGGTCCAAATGGATCGACGACGTGGCTAATAAATTTTTTTAGGGTAAAATCCTAAATCTAGTCCAATCTGGACCGTTGGATCCAGATCAGATCCAACAGTTGAGGATAGAGGCGGCTGAGGGTAAAAACCCTAACCGGGTTTGGTTATGATGGGTTGATTGTTGGGCTTGTTGTATTTAGACCTGTAATAAAATTTGATTATTTAATAATAATAATAATAATAATAATAATAATAATAATAATAATAATAATAATAATAATAATAGTAGTAGTAGTAAAATAATATTAATATCAGGAACGAAAACCATTGTCTACAATAAGTCTACAGGACCTACTTTATATGTAGAAAACATACAATTAAACAGCACTCGGAACTAACACTAAACCACAACAACCTTATTACTCGCCATCGGAACTTTGTAACTCTTAATACAAGCGTATTTTATGGATTATCTCTCACAATAGTAATGAAATATCATCCCTCCAACTTTCATCTATCCTTCAGCCAATTCTAAGATCGACGCTTAACGAGCGAGAGCAAGACTGCGCAAAAGGACGAGAGTCGCTGTGACCAGGCTTTGTACCTAGAAAAGAATAACCGATTGAATCCTCCGATGCATCAAAGAAAGCTCAACATATGAACCAAGAGATGATCAAAGAAAGCACGATGCAGCTACTAGTCCAAATTCGGAATAATATCAAAGCCACAACGGCACCTGAAGGTTTATCAACCTGGTTAACCTCTTTTCGGTTCTGGTTTACTGGTAGACAACCATTGGGAAGCCTTCCCTTGGATCTAGCCCATCGATATGGTGTAGAACCAGATCCTCTTGGGCGACCAATAATAGCTTATGAGTGCTCTACACAAGTGTTATAGGATTCACCCTATGAAGCATCATATGTTGTGTCACATCGATGCCTACTGGAAGGCGTAGATGATCATAAAGACAAGCTTCAACATCCGCACGCAACACCTTTCAATGAGTA